CCCCCCCCCCCCAGCCTGTCCTCTACCTCCAAAGCCGTCTGTACCCTCCCCCTCCCCCTCTGAGCGCCCCCTCTCTCCTACTCATATTTTTTAAAAATATGTATTTATTTATTTGGCTGCACCGGGTCTTAGCTGTGGCATGCGGGATCTTCTTTGCTGGCAGGTGGGATCTTTAGTTGCAGCATGCGAACTCTTACTTGCGGCACGTGGGATCTAGTTCCCTGACCAGGGATCGAACTCGGGCCTGCTGCACTGGGATCGCGGAATCTTAGCCACTGGACCACCAGGGAAGTCCCACCTCTCCCTTACTCTTGCTGCTACTCCCTCCTTCCACCCATCTCAGAGTCTCTGGGCTTCTGTCCCCAAAGAGGTGTTGCTGGGCCTGTTGCTGGTTTTCCTTGGCTCTGTCTCTCCAAGGAAAGAAGCCAGGCGTGAGGCAGACAGAACCTGGTCACTCAGAGCCCCCACCAGACCCATTCGCTGTACCTCCCGGGCCAGCATAGCACAGGGTATAAACAGCCCATCCTCAGGCCCAGAGAGACCTCAGGAAATTTCTGGTCCAGGCTCCCCACTCTCAGAGGAGTCTCAGGCTCTGGGTGGTCTGAGGCCCCCATGAGGCAAGGACACATTTCTGAACCTACTTTCCTCATCGGTAAAATAGGAGCAAAGCCTCCCTCCCACTCAGTGTGGCAGTGAGTATCCAAGGAAATTCTGTGGAGTTGCATCTTATCCCAGTGTTTAAACCTCAGGAGCTTCCCTTGGGGTAGTGAGGACACCACTAAGGGCCCCAGCCTCCTTGGCGGTGTCCCTCGCTAGTTCTGGGGGTACAGACATGACTGTCCCAGAAACTTCCCCCAACACAGATGAATTTCATACCCCAAATGCTCTATCATTTTCTAGGCCATGGCATAACACGATCCTAATAATACCCTTGGGGTTCCCTAAGCCAAGGAAGTAAGTTTTTATCTGTCAAAATTGCTGAGAAATAAGTCAGTGTCTTTCTCCTCTAACCAAAATGTATCGTTTTGTTTTGTCTTCTATCCCAGGCAACATTCCAACCTGGAGAGGTGGACAGTGAAGCCTACCACTCCCTCAGAGAAACAGAGGCTGAGGGGAGTGGTCCTCATTCATTCATTCATTCAACAAAATGTTATTGAGTGCCTAGTATGTACCAGGCTCTCTCTCCCTCCCTCCCTCCCTCACACTAGTGTGTGGGACCTGGGGCAGGGTACCTGGGTGGGTGGAATCCTAACCTATCCAGGGCTCAGGGACCACTGTTACCCCTACATTAGTGGTCAAAAGGTCTGGGCACTGAGTTCCAGGGAAATGATTTTTATTTTTTTATCTTTTTTAAATTGGAGTATAATTGCTTTACAATGTTGTGTTAGTTTCTGCTGTACAATGAAGTGAATCAGCTACTATATGTATACATATATCCCCTCCCTCTTGGATCTCCCTCCCACCCCACCCCCGGCCCTTCCCACCCATCTAGGTCATCACAAAGCACCGAGCTGGGATCTCTGTGCTATATAGCAGGTTCCCACTAGCTATCTATTTTACACATGGTAGTGTATACATGTCAATCCTAATCTCCCAATTCGTCCAACCCTCCCCTTCCCTAAAAGGAATGGATGAGAGCACGATTTTTCAGACACACATGCACACACGCAGGAAGCTGGCAATACCATATGGCAATCCCTGTGTGCTCTGTGTGTCTGTGTACACGAATGCCCCCACCCTAGGAGGGTGGTCCTTTTCTCCAGCAAACTGTCTCCAAGGCCTCTGGGTGTGCAGCTCCACAGGGCACCACACTAAACAGCACACCCCTAGAGTTTGAGGATGCACAAGTCTGGCTCTAAGTCTCCAATCGTTTATTCCTGAGAGTCCCTCTCACCACCAGTAAGTCTCACCTTGGAAAGGTACTCTGTTCACGCTTCAAACTTACTGCCTCCTTCTTAAAACCCTTCCTGCAACCCAGCCAGTTGGCATTTATGTTCCCCACATCCCTCCTCTGCCCTTCACCAAATTCCTTCACAGCAGTCGTCTGATGTGCAGTTTATTCTTTTTTTTTGTTTTTGTTTTTTTTGTTTTGTTTTTTGTTTTTTTGTTTTTTTGTTTTTTTGCTGTATGCAGGCCTCTCACTGTTGTGGCCTCTCCCGTTGCGGAGCACAGGCTCCGGACGCGCAGGCTCAGCGGCCATGGCTCACGGGCCCAGCCACTCCGCGGCACGTGGGATCTTCCCGGACCGGGGCACGAACCCGTGTCCCCTGCATCGGCAGGCGGACTCTCAACCACTGCGCCACCTGGGAAGCCCATGCAGTTTATTCTTAATGTACTTTGGCTAATGTTTGTTTTCCCATCAGAGTGGAAGCCCCTTGAGGGTAGGGACTAAGAGGTAAACATACCTCTAGATAGACCCTGAGTGCAAGTGCAACTAGGTGGATTTAGGCAAGTAACTTAACCTTTCTGAGCTTCGTGCTGCAACTATAAAAAGGGGATGGTGGGCTTAAAAAAAAAAAAAAAAGGGGGGGGGGGGATGGTGAGAACCTCTGCCCCACAGGGCTGGATAATAATGAATGAGATAATGAGCCCTCAGTAAATGTAGGTGTCTTTTTCTCTACATATCTCCAGTGCCTAGTACATCATACAGGTTTATGTATTTAACACTTAAAAGTGTAGGTTTATTTATATAACACTTATAAATGCAGAGGGTCTGCTTATTTAGCAAACAGTTCTTCAGTGCTCAGTATGACTCCAGAGTGCTTTTCAGTCTATCTTCTAAGACAGATGCTATTTTTTTTCTATTATTCTATTATCACCGCCCCCCTCATTATACAGATGGTGAAACTGAGGCTCCGAGAGGTTAAGTAACTATCTCAAGGTCACACAGCTAAGAGAAGACACAGCCAGGGTTTGAACCCAGGCCACCAGGTTACAGTCCTTGCTCCTAATGACTGTACTATGACCACTCTGCTGGACAGATGTGTGTGGAACTCTGAAATTAACCAGGCAACAGTCCAACCTGGGGAGCTGGAGAATGAGGTCTACCAACCCTCCCCCAAAGAAAGAGGGGCTGATGAGGGGCAGTGTTCATCGTTCATGCATTCATTTATTTAACAGCTCCCAAAGAAGAATCAGACCCCGGAACCTGGATGGCAGGGACCCCTGGCCTTTCTGAGCTTCGGCCTCTTCAACTGCAAAATGGGGAAAAATACTTTCTGTTCCAGTCCTGGGCTGTGAGCCCTGAGGATGAGTAAATATGAATGACAGTGGCTGGTCTGCTGTTGTTTTGATAGATGGGGGCGGGGGGGGGCGTATTAATAATGGCAGG